GAGTTGCTTTTCTCCGAGAGGTCAATTCTATCCCGCTTTTAGTTACTCTGTTCACTTCCCGCTTCTAGCTGCATTGGTTCCTGCCAGTCACTGTGCCTTTCTCACACCCGGTGACGAGTGATACTAGTGGGTCACTGCATACGCAGCGTATGCAACGTGCTACAAAGCTGCCTCCTCTTCCTCCTCTGGTGGTTCCCCTTCTTCCATTTGCAGCAACTCTTCCTGGAGAAGGCGTATGAAGGCCTCCAATCAATGGACAAGGAAAGATATATCATCGAAGAGAAGATTTGCACTAAAGATCACTAAAGTCAATATCCTTTTTGCTGGTGGTCTTCATTGATGCCTTGGTGATCTTTGGCTTTTCTCTCCTCGTTCTTGAGCACATCATCAGAATCAACGCAAGAAGACCCGTCGATCGACGCGGAGTCCGCGGACGCCCGCGCCGTCCGCGCCCGTCACTCCTCGCTGAGTTGGACATCGGGCATGTCCTCCGGCCCCACGGGGCAGTTGGCCTCGGCGCATGGCCGGTTTCACCCACCAGAGACGACCAGCGGGTCGAAGGGGGAAGAAGTTCGGATGGTGTTTTTGGCATCAATGGGTCGAAAGGGGTGGAAGTGGAATTCGTGCGTTTTTGTTGCTCTGGAAAAGAGAATCGCAGTTTCATGGGGTGGAACCTTTGGTTAAAATGGCCGCGTTGATGTGAAAAAACAATGTGAAAGAGAAAGGCTGTGATGGTGAGGCGTCCTGGAAAGCGGTCAAAGCGAACAAGTGAGTGGAGATGTGGGGTTTCTTCATGGCTTGCGAATGCACCTCCAGAGCCAGCGGTGAGATAACAAAAAAGAACAAACTAGCCGATATCTATAGTTTGGTGCAAAACAATGAATGACCTAACCCAACCCATCCCAGCCTCAATCAGCTTTGAAGTGGTTCGGCCAATCTATTCAAAGCCTACAACAGCCTACATGCTTAAAAATGTTGAAATGGATACAACTCTTCGTTTCGGGCAACGGCCTCAGGTTCCTTGGCGATCTCAACCTCCGCGCCCACGGCGCTCTGCTTCCTCGGTCCAAGCCACGTAGGTCTACGTGTCAGTCGAGGGCTACCATGTGTCTTTCCCTTCTTAAGACAGGATCCAACAAAGTGATCCTTTTGATCCTTTTGATTCCTTTGGTTGAGTTTCTTTTGGCGTTCTCAAACTCTTGGCACCTTTCTTCCAAAGAAAACATAGTTTAAACTTGCTTGCAGCTCTCAAGGTCTCAAAGATGAAGCTGCCAAGAGTGTAAGGTCTATGGCTCCTATACATGTCATTCATCTTCCTCACCAAGCAACTCCCACCCAGCACCGCTTCACAACACCCCAGTCCGCCGCGGCTCCGGCCGTGCAGGATCTGCTTCTTCCGCTTGATGGGATGACCATCCCCTTGAATTCGCCCTGCCGCGTCCACTGACAAGGTCACCTGCCAAACGTGTCCTGCCGGCCGTGGCTTTTCCACGAGGTGTCCTGCCACCTCTGAATTTCGCTGGATACCTGACTGGGGACTGAATGAAAACGACTGTGTGTGTGTGTTCGTCGGTCGACACAAGTCGAAAACGACCAATGCCGGTGATTCAGCTCCGGAAAGTCGCATGCAAATAGATTTACATTAAAGGTCAACAACCGACCCGCAAAGTCCGGCTCAACCAACCAAAAGAACCTCTCAACTCGACTTGTAAATCATAGATATTCATCGCAAAATGTCCAAAAAGAGGTCTTTCCTCCTTCCTCCTTCCATCTCCGTCCTCTTTCCTCCTTCCTCCTTCCTCCTTCCTCCTTCCATCTCACCGGTCCTTCAGCGCCGGAGGGTGGGTCGCCCTCGAAGGTGATCTCCCAGCGGCCCTGAAGCACCGAGTCATCCACCGTGGGCAGCCGCTGCTCCGGCGCCTACCGCGTTTCTCATCACCGCGTTGAAAACACGGCGGCATCGTCATGGTCCATATGTTTAGTTGTATACTTGTGTATGATCATGACCCAGGCTAACTCTGAGAATCTTGGAAACCATCAGAGTTATGCTATGGACTCAAGAAAAGACTAGGAAACATATTATGGAAACATGACCAGCCTATGTGGATTTCCCTTTGAACAGCATGCCTTGTAAACCCAATTCATAACTGAAAATCGACCAACAAACCTGGATCCCACCAGTGAATCCAAACCTGCGCGTCTCGGTTCTGTTGCATGGCAGGTCTCGGATCTTCTGAGCGGCACAGATCCCAGTGGAATGATCCCGTTTGGGGTTTCGGGATGTCGATCACCCTCTTTGGGGGGGTTTAGGGGGTTTTAGGGAGCGAAGAATCCTTCCGATTCCAAAGCAACCGGTATACCGATTCGACACTGGACCAAGCAGCTGCCGATCCTTCGATCCACACCAACCCGATCCTTCTATGCCGAGGAAGGAACGGCAAGCCCGGCGCCTGTTCGAGACACTAAGGTGTCTGAAAGGCGAAAAGCCCGGCTCACTGTGCTGGGATCGGACAAAGAGGTGCAAATTGCAAAGGCACTATTCTCGATGTGCATCACAGAGTCTGGGATGGTCAATTCTACCGACATGCAATGAGCAAAGGCAGAATCCCCGATGTGTGTCACAGAGTTCGGGATGGTCAAGGTCGCCAAAGATCTGCAATACCGAAAAGTAGCATCCTCAATGTGGGTCACTGAGTTCGGGATGGTCAAGTCAACCAATGAGCTGCAACCCTCAAAGGCCTGGTCTCCGATGTGTGTCACTTGTCAACTCAACCAATGAGCTGCAACCCTCAAAGGCACCGGGCCCAATATGCGTCACTGAATCTGGGATGGACAGGGTCACCAAAGCACTGCATTCCGCAAAGGCACACCTCCTGATGTGGGTCACTGTGCCTGGGATCGTCAGCTTCGCCAATTTTTGGCAAGCTGTGAAAGCGTTTTCAAGAATATGTGTGTCCTCATCTGGATTTCGACCACAAGCAACAGCTCGGAGTCAACAATGCCACCAAAACTGGCGATCGCATGTTGGTTGGAACAAATCACTTTGTTTGGCTTGAAGACAACACTCTCAACAGTATCTTCAGCAATTCCAACATCCAATACCTTTGCATCATTCGCCAGCAAGTGGTTGTCTCTGACAATGATCTCTACACCTGTAGTGCTGCAAGTGAGCTCGTCCCAAGGCTGTCCCTCCTTGATCTGCTGCTTTAGCTCGCAGCCTGTTGTCTCTGGCGTCACTTCAAGAACCAGGATTTCACCACTTGGCTGGAGCGCTGATATGTTCGTTGCCATGGCTCAAAGACCTTGACGGATTTGGAGTTGAGCTGATTGCTTGTTGACTAGCCTTGAAAAACATGTTATGATAGTGGGCACATGCTTGGCCACCTATCGCTGGGCAAATGATTGCAACACCTATCATTCCAAAAGACAGTATAATTCAACAGCTGAGAGCCATTTATGACCACATCCTTAGCTCCAATGTTGGGATGCTCTCTCTCTCTCTCTTTTCAAAAGCTCTCTTTTTCTATGATCCGATCGGAGTGCTGTGAATATTCGAGGCGGACGAGGTCGCACCAAGTTCGGTGCTTTCTGGTTAGGTGTTCACCACAACCAAGGTGAAAAGCACACCACCTCTTGGAATAGAGTGGTTCTGGGCAGCTTCCCAACCTGGAAACCTGTGGAAACCTCTATCAGCCATGTTAACATACCATGTTGCCGTGGTTGGTCAGGTCTCGAGTCACAACCATGTAAACAACATGGATGGGCGAGCGAAAAAACGAAGATTTTGAGGCTCGGGTAAGGTGAGAGGGAGAAAAATTAGCTTTACAGTATGTGGTAGAAGGTCGAAAGTTAGAGAGAGAAAAATGTGGTTTGGCTGAACGCATGGAGCGGATGGACATCAATTATAGGCTTTTCAGAAGGTTGGCCAATTCCGCCCCATAAAGGTCCTTCCGCCCCTGCCTGGAAGCCATCGGGTGCAATGCTGCCGTCCTTCCACACAAAGATCTCGCAACCCACCTCGGATGGAATGCAGAAACCGTGCCTGGAGAGCATCCAGGGGGACGCGACGCGCGCCGCAAAGGACTGGGGGCGCCCAGGTGTCCTGTTTCTCTTCAAACGAAGAGTGAGCAGCTTCGTTGCAGTGATGTGTTGTCCGAAGCTCTATCAGAGATTGATGCAGCTAAGCAGAAGTACAGGGGTGCATGCTTTCTGTTGAGTATCCAGTGTGTCGGGGGCACACTACAAACCGACCGATGCGGATCTCCCGGATGTATGCAGCCCCGCAAACCACACAAATAAAAGGACCGGCAGTTCCAGCGCCTTGTATCTGGGTTTTCTCCTGTTGGTGCAAACGCGACGCTTCCAAAAAAGAACCCCATAATGAGTATTGCCTTAGACAGTCTACCAGCCTTTAGACCTGCAATTTGAACCTTCCAACAATCTCCCAAAAAGAATTGTTCAGTAGATTATATATATAGTTCATATAAAATATACTACACAACACGCCCCTTTGGCTTAAGACATCAATTCACCAACCAATCATCCCTCCGCATCAAGAAGCCAAGGCTTCCGAGGCTTCCTGGCCCGCCTGAGTGCTGCCCACCACCTGAGACAGGCGGAGCAGGCGGTGGTTTTCAGCGAAGACGAGCCTCACGTCGACATGGTTTCAAAATACATTAGACTGCTGATGATATTCTAAACCACCCGCGGATCCGGTCTTGCAATGCTTTTTGCATATAAGTCCTGGGGAATTCTGGGGACCTTTATTCATCAACAGTCCGCATTGGATGGCAGATACCAAAAACCAGTCACTCCCAAGTGTTGCGCAACACCTTTGTGGTTTGGAACATGTGTATTCATCTTCTTCTCTTTTGCAATACACCGAAAGACAGTGGTCTTTTTCGTGGGCCGCTTTTCAAATCCTCACTTTCCTTCAACTCGGTTCCGAGCAGAACCGCACCGCCAAGCCGGTCTGGTTGGACACCGATCAGCCGCACCGATCACGCGCCCCACACCTCCGCCCAGGCCCACACCGCCTGCTCGTAGCTGTCGGCATCGCCCGGAGCTCGGCTCAAAGAGACCAAGGTCAAGCGATCTGAGGGCGCCTCGACCCGGTGCCACGGGCGGATGGAGCGGGATGACTCCGGATGGAGCGGATGAAGCTCTGGGGTGGACAGCTTCAAGCAGACTGGGATCTTTCAGTGGCTGAGGAAACTGAATCAACAAAGGTGTGTGTGTGTGTGTCATTGGGATGATGCTGGATGTCGTTGTATGGTGCAAAATTCATCTTCAACATGCTTCACCTTTCTTGCAAGTCGATGTCCATCGACATCGTGGCACAGCGATCGAACACCAAACATATTGTAGCACCGAATGCGCTGATCCGTGAGGCTAGTCGATTCAATTCACGGCGCAGAAAGAAGATGATGTTCGAAAGAACAAAAAACACCTGTGGAGTTTATATATTATAATATGTGGGGGGAGGGTATGGAAGGTCGTTCTATAGATATCAAGTGGTGGGTCAGCACCCCTTAGGGGCCTTGATTTGAAGGAGACTAAGGAAACAAGCATTTATGTTATGACCTACCCAAGGTTAAATCTGCTCATCAGTGAGGCTCAAAAGCATTGTTTTCGCCCTATGAAAGAGCATGAAAGAATCACATAAACGTATAATATATATATATATAATCTTACACAGAAAAGTGGAAAATAGACTTATATGTTATATAATACATAGTAAACAAATCTAAAAAACATATGAAGAGCTAGATAAGCCAAAGTGAAAAACAAATTGTGATAAGATAAGAAATTGTTGGCCATAACATGCCTCATCCAAGCAGCGGTTCAAAAGCTCGCACAAAGTGTACAACAACGCCCAATCCTCTGTAAAGTCACACAATATAACCCCCCAATCAGGGGAGGCATGAAACGTTTTAAAGGGGCGACGACCCCCCTCATCCTGTATTAAAAAACAACAATCTCAATGCGCAACATGTCCATCCTACACTGACTAACTGAGCACTTCAAGTACTGATTCAAGTACCATCTGTGCCGAGTTTTTTGGGGGTTCGTTGGGACCAGCTTGGGGCCAACCATATGAAGACCAACACACTGCAGTGTCTTTGTGACCGCAGTGACGGTGTTGAAGAAAGCACCGAGAACCCCATTGCGTCTGCATCTGCGTCAGCCCTGGGTTCACGGCCTCCGTCTTGCCGCTCTGGTTCACGGGCTTCTTCGTGATGCCCGTGATGCTCACCACGCCATCGGTGACCTGACGTTCACGTCTCTCGGAGGGGGTCGAGGGCTTGGTGACCGCGGCGCGGCGCTGTGTTTCAGCAGTGTATCACATCACCATGGTATGGAGGAGTCCACCTGGTGGGTGGACAGAATGGAGTCCACCCGGTGGGTGGAACGTGTTCTTTCGTCCAGCTTCTCCGGTTCGAAAACCTTGCTCCGAACCTCCCAGGGCGGGGATCGCTTTCCTCTGGCAGGTGGTGGCTATGTTCGTTTGGGGGAGTGTACTCAAAAAGTAGCCCGGCCACAGGTATCTAAACAATGTGCTTTGCTACTTCCCCACCTACTTCCACTTACAAGCCAATGTCCTCGATCTGGTAGCTGGCCAAAACCGCTTGCTAAGGTTGAAGCAGTTGAAGCAACAAAAGCTACAGTAGATCTGTAGAATGTGTCCCAGATTTAGCCCAAAATGGAGGACGGGCAGGATTTCTTCTGAGGCCAAAATTCTCAGTTCTGCATGTCTGGCAAAAATGCGACCCAAATCTACCAATGCGCCTGCCCAACACCTCCGACCCGAGCACTTCCGTGCCTTTGTCTTCAGCCCGGCGATCATGTTGCCCCGGCCAGCGGCCCAGTTCTTCCGGGACAAATCGTCGCTGTCGAGGTACTCCATCTCATCTCCTTCCGAGCAAAAATGAGAAAAGAGCAACGACCTCGTGGTGTTGATGAAAAATCACACTCTGTTGATCTTCAAAGATCCTCAAAAAAGTCACGCGGGGGGTCTGGGAGATTGTAGAACCCCATGAAAGAATAGGTTGACATGCCAGGTAGTTCAAACCTCATGACATCGTTCATACGAAACGTAGAAGGGACGTTCTGTCAGGGTTGCACTGTCAGGGGTCCCTAGAGAGGTTGCTTGCCCCAGTACGAAGCACGGGACAGAAAAAGTTAGGAAGTTAGACACACTGTACTCAAGATGTAAAAGGTGTATATATATATACAGATATATATATGTGTGTGTGTGCGTGTGACCAACCACACAGTGGCTTTAGCTCCTTGTGCTGAACCCGACTCAGGCCAAACAGCCCTTCCGGGCCGAAACTCGTTTCGGGAAGGACAGAGACTGGCTCAAGTGCCTACAGAATGGAGTCTTCGGGTGCCAAGAAAGAACGTCCTGGCGCACCAATGCTGCTCAAAGCATTCTTGGAAAAACATTGTATTCAAGGGAATTGAGCCAAGAGTCTTGAGGAGGCATGCGGGAATTGTGAACCCTCCCAGCCTGCTTTCGGTTATTGGAAGAAGATGGAAGAAGCTACTAGGAGCAAAGGGCATCGCTACTAGGAGCAAGGACGCTACTGGGGGCTCCTGGCCCTACTAGTAGCACGAAGCTACTAGGAACAAAAAGCTACTAGCCAACTCCGCTACTTTTGGGGGGTCCAACCGATGCCAATGATCCGGTACTTCAATCAGGTTCCTCCCCGTATCTCCTCGTCGCTCGCACGAAAAGAATAAACAAGATGGAACCCACGAACCCGAATGGAAACACGTTCGAAAAACTACATACGTCCAAATGACACTCTTGTGGGACACTCTTGTAGGACACTCTTGTGAAACACTCTTGTGGGACACTGTTGCGAGACACTCCTGTGGGACACTCTTGCGGGACACTCATACGGGACACTCTGTGGGACACTCTTGTGGGACACTTTTGTAGGACACTCTTGTGGGACACTCTTGTTGGGCATACTCTTCGTACGAGACTTCCTCCAAAAGTCACGCTGCGAGGCTGCAAGACGAGCGTTTCGTATGAGACTTCCTCCAAAAGTCACGCGTCAAGTCTCAAAAACGAGCATTTCGTACGAGACTTCCTCCAAAAGTCACACGTCAAGTCTCAAAAACGAGCATTTCCTACGAGACTTCCTCCAAAAGTCACACGTCAAGTCTCCAAAACGAGCGTTTCGTACGAGACTTCCTCCAAAAGTCACACGTCAAGGCTCCAAACCGAGCGTTTCGTACGAGACTTCCTCAAAAACTCACATGTCAAAGTCTGCAAAACGAGCGTTTCGTACGAGACTTCCTCCCAAAGTCAAGCGGAAACACCCATCGGAGCACACCCATCATCGCGCATCCCTGCCAAGCAGTTTCGCGATTCCAGCCCCTCCAAACAACCTCCGCACACACGCCAATCCCAATGTGACAGCGACATTCACCTCTACCACAACTCACAACCCCACGATTCCCTGCGCCTGCCACGAATCTTTCCGCGTCCACACGTCTAACGCGCACAAAGTCCTGTGCCTGCCACGAAATGTCATCTCCGTCACACCTCGCAACCTCACGATTCCCTGCGCCTGCCACGAAACTCGCACTTCCACGCCTCAAAACCCGCACAAAGTCCTGCGCCTGCCACGAAAAGTGCCAATATCATCTCATGTGAGCTTCAACAAAATTTGCACCACACCACACGTTTGGAATGATTTCGACCCGTTGTGAGCACACTCCCATCCACCAAAATCACCATTTCACCTAAAAAACTTGTCACGAAAACAGCGCTTCGATGCCACACCCTCACACGCAAATCCCAATGGCACGGCCACATCCAACACCCCAAAAACACGACTCTCCAAACGCTAATCCCAATGGAACTGCGCAGCAATCTGCGGATCTCACAAAACGCTGCGCCTGTGCAGCGAAGTGCATCACGTTTCTTGCGCGACATGTCCGTGTCACGCAAATCACAATGGAATAGCGGCGCAAACTGACACGTGACACATCCATGCAAAGTCACTTGCAAAAGCTTCCCCCAATGGCAGCAAATTTGAGACGCGACGACGACGAGAGACGACGACAGACGACGACAAACGACGACAAACGACGACACGACGCAAGCCATGCAAACACAGCTCCAACCCCCAGACCGCCAACCATAAACGGGAACCCTTCGCTACGCATTCGGGAAAAAGCTCAGTATCAAACCCGCCCGGCCTTCAAAGGTCTCAGAGGTTCGCCCTTGGGTGGTCTTGAAGACCAATGAATAGGCACCAACACCTGCGAGTTTTCTGTGCCGGCCAACGCCCTCGGTCAGTCACGCGCCATAAAGCTCACGTTTCTCGGCCCGTGCAGCTCGCCGAGCTCGCGATGACTGGGCAGCCAGCTTGTTTGGTGTAGTGAGGGTGAAGAAAATGACTGCTAGGAGAATCTGTCTTGGAGCTGTTTGAGACTGAGTGCTTTGGGTAAGCGGCTAGGCCCTGCTAGGCAGCTGGGCTTGTTGTGTGGTGAAGTCCAAACAAAACACCCGGATGGCGGTCGTCGACTGCCACTGAAGAATTCGTCGGCTCCGTCACGCCTTCGACACTCTTCACGGTCACGTCGGTGATGTTCTCCCCCGGCTCTAACTTGAACTCATGCGTGTAGGCCTTCTGATCGCTCTTCTCCTGCCCAGTGAACGCCATCGATCTAGAGTTGTTCGTTTTCTTCAATTACATCACCGATGATGACTTATGGATACTTATGGTTCTTGTTTTCAACCCACTTGAAAAATATCATCTCGAGAGGGTCCTTCTTCATCCCCAAGTGGTTGGGTTGAACATCTCCCAAACGTCACCGGATGCACTTTCACCGATGCACCGCGACGCCGGTGACGCGTGCCTTCCCCGCATAGACGAAGTACACGTCCGCAATGGCATAGTGGATATTCACCCGCACGGTACTGACGGCCCCGCCACCGGGCTCTGATTGGGGCAAGGACGGGCAACAGAAGTTCATGGTGAGGCCATAAACGTTGAGCTTCTTGCTTGAACCTGCCGAGGAACTTCGCAAAAGGAGCGGAAGCAGCGATTTGGCGCTGCTGGGTGTGCTGCTATACTGCTTCCTGCAGTGGGGCTATACAGGAAAATAGGAGCTCTATTCGTTTCACTTACAGTTTTGGAGCATGTGTTGATGAAACTTCATGGACCAAAACCCCCCTTCAAGTGCTTTCCAAAGTTCCCCTGAAGAAATGACCCTCTGCTCACCACGCCAATGGGCGCTTCTTCGGGCCGTGACCCGGTTGGAATGGACGCCCGTTGGCGCCTCCATTGGGCGCTAGCTGGAGCTTGGTGCATTGCACGAAGGAGCGCTTGTCCACTTGGAGGAAGCCCTTGCTGCCTGAGAGTCTTGAGTCTTGCGCCGCGCGAGTCTTGCGCGGGGTGTCTTGGTCCTTGGGTCCGATTTCTGGGAAGGTGTTCGGCAAGCCAAAAGGGCGGGTGCCTGAAAGAGAAAGACTCCACCGATCTCGTTTGGTTTGGGGTCACTGGTACAGCTGGACGTCACTAGAGTCACTCAAGAGGAATGCCAAGTTGGGTCATCCTGTTTCGGGTCTTGGAACGTTGGGCTTCGGGTTTTGGAACTGCAAACGAGCTGAGAAGGGAGAAGCGAAACGAAACATTATATATATATATATGTATGATATATGTGAGGTGAGAAATAGACTGATAGACCTAAGCCCATTGATCGGGTTCTCCATATACTGGGCTATGTGGTCTGAGGCATCAGTGACCGAATCTAGGCCAACACAGCCTTGTCACTACAAACCACAAGGCTGCAACGCTGCCACCACGTTGTTCCCCACCCAAACCGGCCAACTTCGACCCTTTTCACGGCTCACTTTCGATCTACTCCAACTGAGGTCACCGTCTCGTCTCGTCTGGCTCCGTCCGCGCTTCGACCCTCACCCCGCCTTCCACCGTGACGGGCTCCACGAAGCCGAACGCGAAGCAATCCTGGTCCATCGGTGCATCGGTCCATCGGTGCATGGAGCGGAGTCGGTGTCGGTCCATCGGTCGGTGTTCGGATCGATAAGTCTGAAACCGCTCGGACGCTCAGATGCTCATCAAGAACGCTAAAGTGTAGCAAGGTGCATCGCTACTAGCAACAAGGTGCATCGTTGCAAGAGATTGTTTCCGACAAGGACGCCCGAGGACGTGTGAAGTGGGCGTTGGAGCGTGAGGAGGCAAGGGCGGGTTGGAGAATGGGCATGTGGAGTGGGGAGTCAGTGTGTGAATCTCTAAAAACTCTGTGTCGTCCAAATCAATCGCCGTTTAAAAGAACAAAACTGCTAAAGCATACCTATCCTTCTGCCTTCAGGTCGCATGATCCATTGGGCATGTTGCATCGAGCCTTGGGGAGGTAGTCCATCTGGAAGTCAAAGTCCGCAGTGGTGGCACCCTGACACGTCACGTTCGCATACGTGTAGAGTGGATTTGCGCCATGCTGCTCTTCGATGGCGATCTGCATCTCTTCCTGCGAGGGTCAAGATCTTCAGTGGTGATTTCAGCCTGAAAAGAAAGTCATTGGGGATTCATCGTCCCAGTTCAAGGTTGAAACCCCAACAGTGTTCATGATTGGTTGATAGTTCAAGGTTGAATACAGTAGTACAAAATTTGAAACGATCAACCAGTTATGAACAAGTTCTGGAACGCGTTGGACGGAACATGCTTGCACGGCCGTGGTTCCAGGAACTGTGCGTGATTTCTTTTTGATCCTCCTTTTCACGGCTAAATAGGTGTGACTATGTATGCAGAACAAAACGTGTTGTTTTTCACCACTGGTGTTTCTTTTCTGCCGTACATCAGGGACAGCTCTCATTGACCGGAATTTCTCACATTGTGACTCATGTTTCCCCCCAAACCCAAAAGCGCTCCTCTTCCACCGCGATGTGCTCTTTCTCCTTCTCCTCTTCCAGCTTCCGCCGCGCGATCCGGTCCTCTCGACGTCGACGGTGATGGTAACGCGGCGCGACGCGGTGCAGAGAAGCACCCTCTGTGCGGAAGTAGCGGGCCCTCAAGAACCAGAGGAGCAGGGCACAGAAGGTGAGTGTCTTCTTCACGTGAAGGTCCTTGGAAAACACCACTGGATGAAGTTGATGGATACTACTTCCCTGGTTTAGGTGAAGCGGGTGCTGTTTCTGACAAAAAGGGTTGTGCCCCAGCTTAACAAGAATCAAACATTAGTGATACACCAGCTTATCTGCTGATCCCGAGCACCTATTAAAAACACTACCCAATCAAAACCAACTCATATTGGAGACCCCTAAATAGAGTTTATCCGTCTGCTTGTGACAGAGTTTATAAGTTGTGTGTTTAAAATACCGCCTTTCTTCTGCAGAACACTCTGAGGCCCGTGCGAGAACTCAGGGGTGAAACAAAGATGCACATCGCGAGTGCGAGGATCATGGAGAGCTTGGTAGGGACATAGGGCATATACGAATGCTTTCCACATCGACCTTGATGGAGTTCTTATCGTTGTCAGCATAGCATGAACAAGTTACCACCTTCCTAGGCCACTACCAAACCACAAACATAGGCAATGTTGCAGTGTTGAATTTTTTTTTGCTCTTTGTAGATTAGGTACCCAGCCACTGGAATCACCACCAATCGTGCCCCTAGGGTCACGGCGTATTTATAGATGCATGTGCACCCTTCCCCAATGGTGCAGAGCCACGCAAACGCACTTTCCACCGAGGCCGCGCAAAACCGCATTGCGCAGCGACATCTTTCGAAATCTTTAGTTGTTAGTCTGATGAAAAGTTTAGAAGCGAATAATATCGAAACGTCACTTCGATCTGGAGGTTTTTTCAACAATTTTGATACGCGTCTACTATAGGATTCTGTATAAAACTTTCCTACAGCAAACTTTTCGTGTGGGTCCCCCTATTTTGGGGGGAACCCCTATTAGCAAAAACGACACTGGAGTGTGTTTTATTAGTAGGGGGGTCCGTCTGTTTTAATAGGTGGACGGGATTATTTGGATACCATAAGTTCCGTGACACCAATTTTGATGATGGAGGAATCAACCACTTGTACCCAAAAATGCCTGGATTGAATCAATTTTCTACCCTGTCTAAAAAGTGAAACGACGCATGATCGAATCATGGGGCACCCACCGCGACATGTCGCCTTCAATGCCATCTCCCTGTCACCTGGCGCTCTACTCAGTCATAGAAAAGCTGCTCTTCTTGCTCAGAATACGTCAATTGGGACTTGCAGAGCGCGAGAGTCAAACCTGAATCCAAAAGCGGGAACACCTCGCTGACGTGTCGTTCGCCGGATGTGTCATTTCTCGGAACGACGTGGTCCCTCCTGGAGACGGTTGGAGATGCTATCTCGCTCGCCTGGCAGCGCCCCCAGGGCGCAGTGTCGGGAACTCCCAGGAGTGTTGGCTACAATCGTGTGCATTCGATGGAGCTGTTGGTTGTATTCATGAGACCTGCTATACCTCGCTTGAAACATCTTGACCCTTGATATGTTGAAAAGACTTGAAAAGAATGCAGAACTGAAACCAGAAGCCATCCAAAGACCTGCATCGTTGTTTGTCCCTCCTCAACAACCCAATGGCATGGCACCGTAGATGCATCAAAAACCACCATAACATGCCCTCCCAGTCTCCCCAGTCTTCTGCACCTCTACTCACTACTCTATCATGCACATCCTGCGTTTCGAACATGCACATCCTGTATTTTGTCTACCATTCACATCCTGTCTCGCCATTCCAGAAGAACATCCATTAAATTGACCCGTCTTCTCCTGTTGATTGACCCTCCATCCTGCTGCACCAAAACAAAAACGAACTCCCTGATCCACTGCAACAACTCAACCAATGAGGCTCATGAAGGGCAGGAGCTCCCTGCATGTTCTTCATCCCCTAGACGACCTCGCAAGACGAAGCTACCGACCTGGACACCCAATCCTTATCACGTCATGGCACGCCTGGACCCCAAGTAAGAATGGTAGGATTCACGGTGTTTTGGGCCACCACGACTAACAAGGAGGAGGCCACAAAAAGAAAGACATGCTTCGCCGTGTGGATTTCCACACGGTTTGCTGGTTTCACATCTGTCTTTCTGGGTTCCAACTGAAGGAAGCGGCCGCTTGGCCCGGCCAGCCGGGTGCCAAAGGCTGAATTTCAGGGCAGAAGGGGTCAGAAATGGATCTTAGACTGAGAATATGTTACTTGTCAAACCGACTTCGATCGACATCCCAACCCCGTGAATCCAGCCTTGGGAGAGCTCCGGCTTTCGAGAGATCTCACGCTTCATGGAGGGAGGACGGCCCACGGTGAGGCCACTGCCTGGAGGTTCTTCGGCTGAACCGACTGACTCAAGAGGCAGTTTTTGACCTGAAAACTGGAAACTGCACATTGTCAGGATTTCATATGCGTCCAGTTCTATGAGTACAGTGAATTATGGAGCTCATGACCAGTATACTGAATAAGCAAGCCAGAAAACATTAATTTTTGCCGGATTGGTCTAGAGTCTAGAGCCCCAAAAATATAGAAAATATATGGCTGTGAGTCAAAAGCAGGAGACCTTGGTTGACCTACCGACGATAGTCAACCTACCAGGGAGTAGGTGTTCCGGGTTTTGACCCTTCCCCAAAGGAATTACGTTGACAACACCCCCACTCTCACCTCCGTTCGCAGCGAAGAACCGACCACCCCGTACCGCTCGGACCTCCGGCCTCCCGAGGCACCCGAAGTGGCGCGGTTCAGCGCAGGGGGCACTGCCAGGGAGGAGCCGGGGTCACCTGGACGCGGCGGGAGAAGTCTTCATTCACCGATGGTGCGATTCAATCCGCGTGCGCTGGAGACGGGACTAGAAACGAACATGAGGAACATCCGCTCATTTGGAGACTCATTATAGGGACTATAGTCAGACCCATTCGTAGAAGAGTTTGAGCAAACTGAAAAGGCTTCGTTGTCTGAAATCTCTTCGGGGACCTGGCCTTACTACTGGGAGCAAGGACGCTACTAGGGGCTCCTGGCATCGCTACGAACGGAGCACTCAAGAACTGGTCTTGGGGTCGGGACTCTTCCCTGTGTTCACCGTCGCCTCCGGTGGTGCCCGAGATCGCGCGGTCCAGTGCGGGAGGACCGGAGGAGTGCGCCAGCTGCTCCTTCCCGAGCTCCGTCACGATGGCGTGGTCTCCACCCATGAAGGCATCCTGAAGGGCCCCCCCCCCCAAGGCGGTGTTCTCGTCCTCCGCTCGCACCATCCATGGATGGAATATATACCTAGAACCCATTTGACCTCTGCTTTGATAGGAAAAGACCATATTTTGACATATTTTGGGTGGTTGGTATAGAGGTCACTCAGGTTCTAGGTAATGCAATGTCAGGATTAATAAACCCCCCCTAGTTAATCCGAGCCCACAAAGCCGCCGGAAATTGCCCAAATTAAAAGCATTATTGGTTGTTGCTTTCCCCCCCTATGGTCTAATTTTCTACCAACAACCCCCCCCAGTTAATCCGAGCCTACACAATCCAAAAAAAATATTACTTTTAATAAGGGGTGAACTAGTGGAGGTTAATTTATCCTGACTTGACATTATACTCTCAACTCATGCTGCTCATTCAGCAAGTCTCACCTCATGCTGCTCATTCAGCCACTCTCGCTCCATGCTGCTCATCTCTTTTTCAGCTCATCAAGGAGGTCTGAGTCTTTGCTCATGGCTTGCCCCTCTCAAACCTTCATGGTCCAATGGTCTCATAGCACATTATTCAGGGGAGTGGACCTCATGAGTGGTTATCTCAGACCTTGTTGACCTTGTTGACCTACCATGTGGGGGGGGGGTTTATTAATCCGGTCTTGTCATTACATTTATAACATGTTATAACCCCAATGTAGGTAACTATTCCCTCTGGGCAAGCAAACGCTGCATCTCGGGTTGGTATGGAGTCTCCGCGCGGGCGGCCGTTTCGCCCGTTTGTGGTGCAACTCTCCCAACAGGGCGGCCTTTCTTCGACTTGGAGATCGCCGCCATTCTTGCGGGGGGGGAGGTTGGCATGTTTCAGCTTCACGGCGACTCACGGGGAGTTCATCGGCTCACGGGGACACCTCACTGGACTCGTCGCATGTGTAAGGGCCATACACATGGGACGAAGACTGATGACAATATAAATCAAAAACTCAGCATCAATCCGCAATCAGCTTTCTTCTTCCGAACAGGCCTCATCAAGCCTCCAATCATTCTCCCACCCCACCGACCACCGACCAACGTGGATGCCGAGCGTCGACTTTGTGCTTGACGAAGCTGAAGAACTCCCGGTAGGACACCACGTGGTCCCCGGACTCGTCCATCGCCTGCGCCGGTCGCGGGAAACGGTGGGGGACTGGGGGGGGGGGGGTTCCGAAAGAGGTTTCAAGGTGGGATGGGTAAAAATAGGTGTCTGAACGTCAAGGAGCCTCGTCAGTTGGGGGTTGAAGACAAGCACACTAAGTGTATATGCGCGGGTCTATTTGAGGGTTCATCCACCATCTTTACGCAAGAAAAACAGCACATTCCCTGCTTGATGGGAAGGTTTCGAGGATTGGTGTGGTAGTGTCCATCACAATTCTTGAAATGTGCCTTGAGCCAGCTCCAAGATTTTCCAGGCATACGAACATGTCCAGCTAAATCCAAGCTGACGACTCTCTTGTACTGACTCCAGCCTCGCCCGGTCGCCGGTGATTTCAACTGATAGCCCGCCCCCCCACAAAGGAAAATCCTTAGATCAACCACCGCCACCTATTGCTACCCCTCGTCGTTCCTGAAACCGTCTTGACCACACGAACAGCAGCATAGCGCCTCCAACCAATCCAAGATCTCATCCTTAGGTTGCCCAGCGGATGAATCCTGATGAATTCCAAGTGACCCCGACCAAACATGAAACAAAACATCAATGCTGCGGACGTCCAATGGTCAAATCTTCGTCGTAGCACCCCGATGCCAAAAGGGAGTTGATGCCAAAGTACCGGCAGCGGAGCCTTTGGGGAAACATGATCAGTGGAAGATGGCTTATAATCATAATGTCATAGTTATTGCCTGGGGTTAGTCAGGGGGAGGTGTTGGGATTTCGTGATATATATATATATATATTATAGTTATATGTCAGACTGCACCACTCACCGACTCACCGCAAAAAGATAAACATCAAAAAAACAACACCATTCACTATATATATATAGTCATAATATGGTTCTAAAACATCCTGAAACGGTCCAACATCAAGTCCCCATTCTCCCAAGCATCCGGTGATGTCTGAAAGCCCAGGTGTTTCAGAGCTTGGCAAATCTCAATGGGGCCCAAGAAGCCCACCTGTCGCGAGACCGGAGGGGCTGAAGAATCCCAAGAGATACCGTTAGAGGAATTAATTGAAGGAGATACCTGTGTTATACCTGAGATCTTTGGCATCTTTCATGCTTCAAGTGGAACATTCTTTGAAACGCTACATGCTTTCAGCTCAAATAGAGTATAGCTAATAGTTCGCTTCGGTCCCTGCAACGGTTTCACAGGTTCCCAGCTTCGTTGCTATCACAAAAAAAGAAAAACACATCACGCACATCTGAGCCCTGTGAAGAACTCATCTGGCCTGCTGCAGGTCGAAGCGCTCGAAAGCCTCCTGCACACCTCATGGATCACAGCGTAGCAGGTAGCCGATCACAGTGTGTACACTGCAACAGGTCCAATCCCCAGTTGACTCCACAAATGGAAGCAAGAAGGAACCAAATGTAGGTACCCTATCAATCCAATCAAATACAACGTCAACCCCATCCCTTGAGCTGAGCTGGCTGTGCTTCCAAGCCGCCCAAGCCTTTCCCACTGATGGTCTCCCGTAAGCGCACCGCTCGAATCCGCTGCACCATGATTTCAAACCTTGGCCCCGTAACACGGCGAACGCCGTGCGCGCTTCTTCCCACCGTGTCGGCGGCGGCGTGGACGAACATTCCACCTAAAGCCGCTTCCGTCGTGAAAGCGGAGAGCGACCCAACGAAAGTGGTCCAACGGCTGGCACAACTTCATGGTGAGTCTGGAAGACGAATGTCCTCACCAAGGCTATCAACTCAGCTCAGCAGTGCACATTGCCTTCCACGCCAACAAACCAAAAAAACGACCTCCTCTTGTTCTTCTGCTTCTTTTTTCCATCTTTCTCACCACACTGTGGCCTTGCTCCTCGGCTTGGGCTTCCCTGCCCCGACTCGCCCGCCGACCCCCTTCGCCCGGTGGCTCGCTGGGCACGGTGAGTGCCACCGCAATGGGCCGCTCCGCCCAGTCGCCCACGGCGCGGCGCCGGCAGCCGCCGATCTGCTCGAAGAAGCGGCGCCGGGCGAAGGGCGTCTCCTCGGCGGAACGCGCCAGCCGGGTGAAGACGCGCTCAGAGCGAAAGCTGTGCGGAGGACTGGGCAATGGGGTGTTGGCTAAAGCTGTTGGCTTGGCCAAAGGGTCCTTGAAACGGTCCTCTCCTCCAAACCCCATTGACATTTTCTGAACTCGGTTTTCGAAGGGAGATCAAGCATTCCTTCCCAAACATCCATTCGATCTCTTGCGTCTCTTGCGTTCTGAGTCAGAAGGAAAAACGAGTCCATCTCGTGTCCCGTTGGCATCGTGATGGTGTCTTAAGCACCACTTTCCGAAGCATGCCTTCTTTATCTGCTCATTCTCTGGGTGCCAATGGCAATGTTCGATTTGTTGGGCCCTTGGGTCGAATGGGCGGTTCCGTTGACTGTTTCGAGGCGGCAGAATGCATGTTCTGAAGACTTAAAATATAGGATGACATGGGATGGTGTGGCGCGTGCTCTTATGCCAAGGTTCGATAGGACCGAAAAGCTCAAGGAAAGCTCATCTTAAGCTGCTGACAACGGAGAGGGACCCTCCAGATGCTGCGATCAATCCACCCTATTGGTTCCATCTGAGTGGTGATGGACCTGGACCTACTACATTGCCGGGTTCAATGGGTGCCAACCATGCATCCTGAAAAAAACATCGAGATAAATGGCCCAGAAGAATGAATGGGTCTCAGGCGAAACTCTATCGCAATTGTCCATGTAGTTGGGATATCTGGAATCGATCACAATGTTCAAGATTCAATTTCTGGGCATTCGCCAAAACGTCGTCTGGTTGAAACATAATGATGAGCCCAATCTGGAGAAAAACAAAATAGAAACATATTGGTCAGCGGATCTCTCACGTGTCAAGTTGTTGGCTTGTGACCCAGTTGGCAGGTTAACCTCAGGTTCCCCTGTTTCCCAAAGGAGCAGCAAAATGATCTACTGCAACGATGTCGATCACGATGTAGATCCTTTTCCCTGCATTTTCTTCCACGGCCTTCGAACGATGTCTTGGCCGACAAGTCTCGTGTTGCAGGCCGCGGAGCAAGGCCGTCAGCTCCTGGCTCGGGGGGGTCATCAAGACGGAAAACCTCTAAGCCTTGGAAGATGGTCGCCAAGCCAAGCGCCTCAACCGGCGAACATCACCTGTGGCTTCAGCCGAGCCAAGCCTTAGAAAAATCCGCTTGGATTTGGTCGATGACAAACCTCCGACCCAGGGGTCCGTTTAGGGTTCCTCGACGGGGAGCATAGCGGGGTGTCATTGGGGAGATCTTGATGTCAGATTCATAGCCGCCTGTCCAGTGTAGCGGCAGGCTTCGGGTATTCAAGTCCCCCATATCCGTTGTGAAAAACCTTCAAGTCAGCATCCTGTTAGGGGTAGGGTGTGGTTGAGATGTCTTGGTTGGTTGGAAGTTCAAAGGGAGCTCGATGCTGAGTGCGTCTCAAGCAGATCTATATTGACAAATGCTGGTGTTCATTCATTGACATGCTGTACTCTAAAACGTCCGTACATGATAAATGAGAAGGTTTACTCAAGATGCTGGTTGGAAACCAACCTGGCTGCCTCCTGTCATACAGTTCGCCTAAAACATCCTCAAACCTTCACCCGCACCCCTTTTGCTATCGCCACAAAGCATTGCCAAAAAGACAAACATCTTCCACCACCTCTCCGAACCCATGTGACCCCGTGATCGGCCAAATAAAGACATGGCGGTATAGCCCTCACCCCTCACCACTCACGTATCGAATGGCCGGGGCCTCGTCTTTGAAGAAGACCTGGGTATCGAAGTAGCGGCACAGCTGCATCGCGCGCAGCGTCTGGTAGGTGGCGCCTTCCTCAAAGCCCACGGAGCGATCCAAGACGCTGAAGCCTGGCGTGTGGGACATCGGGATGTTCTCGCAGGGTGCACTCGGTCAGATGCCCAGGGTGCACTCGGTCGGGTGCCTTTTCAGAGGGTGAACATTTGGCTGTGTGTTTTTTTTGATGATGATGATGATGATGATGATGATGATGATGGTGATGTGAAATGCCAATCCACCCCCCAGCCAGTTCGGGATCCGACTCAGTCTCCACAAAAGGGTGGTGCCCATCAACCCCACATCCTCCAGCTATGGCCTGATGCCAGTGCACGCAAGCCGATGGAGGTATTGGCTGGTGCCAAAGGTGGACCCAGTAGTAACCTGAGACATGGCGGTCCAACGCTCTACATCTGTGTCAGATGAGTCAGTCGAACGAAGCAAGACTCTTGGCAAGAATCCAAACGATCATTGCAACCACCGTGTCTAAACCCCAAAAGAGGAAGAAAACAAACAAAGACATGTTAAAACACACACATGGTCAGATCGTCTGAACCAGATCCCCAACCTTTTTGGCCCCAACCCACCGGCAACCCTGCCATCCGCGGCGCTTGCAGTGCAGGATTCGTCGTAAGGTCTCGCCCTCTGCGAGACTCAACGCCACGAAGAAACGGCCACGGTCCTGGTGCGGTGCGGGGTGCGGTGGCGAGGTGCAGAGAAGCAGGTGCCAAGCGGAAATGGAGACGTTAAGGTGCTCAGGACTCTATATAGATTGGACATGAGGTGGTTTTGGGAGCAGGTTTGCAGGATCTTGTGAAGTAACGTGGATCTAAAACATGACGCATCTGTCATCCATTGAGAATTCCATAGCTCCAGTCTTCCAGGTGCCTTCGAAGTGGGCGCGCGCCGAAGGCAAAGGTGCCCTTTCGACCACGTGTCGCGACGGCTCGGTTCCTGCGGGCGGAAGTGCGGATGGAGCAAGAGCTTCACCATGTCCTGCCACGGCGGCGGACGGCAACCCATCGCACAGGGGTGCAGGGCGGATCGGTGAGGTGGAGAACCGAAAACCCATTCCGGGCGGTCTGAAGGAGGGCTCCAAGATGTTCCAAGTGGGTAGGTGGGTGGCTAGGCAGTATGGGTGGCTTCACATCCGAGCGTGAGAATTGTTTCGCATTTTTGCAGGGTGAACCAAGGTGTTGGGGCTCGATGATCCAGGGCCAAAAAGGCGCTTGTGCATCCCTTGACTGTCCCACCATCAGCGCCAAAATCGAAAGACTCTACATAGATCTGGAAACAAAACTGGTAAAGGCACGCGAGTAAAACCTCAGGTAAGATAGTCTTGTTCGAAATGCACACTATTAATGATATTCAGGACTCCCAGGTCCCAGGTAGGCTTGAAAACCCTCAGAGACCTCCATTCAGGTGTCCGAATCCAACATCTCCACTTAGATGCCACATCTTAGCCACGAAAATGCGACAACCGAGAGAGCACACCTCCTTTTGAACCCCAGCAACTCACTCCCCCAAAAAACATCAAAAAACATCTTTGGAGGTGCCCCAGATGTGCAAAACCCTTCAAAGACAAAAGAACAAGGGCCACTCACAGCTCTAGATGAAGGTGGGATGATGAAAGGTGGAGAATGAACAGCTGCAACATCCTGCGACGAATGAATGGCACTTTGCTGTAGGAACCTCAAATAGAATCGTCAATATCGTCCCAGCAAACCCACCATGGTCGGTCTCACGCCCACCTCGAGGCCCACGCCCGTGGGGGAGCCACCCTGAGAGCGCAGGCAGGCAGCTGGGCAGCTGGGCAGTCAGTGTGGCAGAATTTCAGCTGGGTTCAGGAGCGTAGTAGATGGCTTCTTGAGGTCTGGAGCTATCTGGAGGCAGAAAGTATCTTGACACATGTCCATGAGCCAGTAGGTAGTTGTTGTATCGTGTTGTTGTATTGAAAAGCCCCTCACTGCTGAGAAGTATATAATATATTATCATATATCATAATATATTCTCTCTGGCACATCAAAATGGGTTGCAAAAGAACTTGCAAGAAATTCCTTCTAGTTTGGCAAGTTAAGACCCTGCTCTCTTGGTGTATCCATTGTGTTTCTCCGCTTTATGACCGGATGCACGTGCAGCTCAAGAATGGGGGCTCACATGTCAACGAGTGGGTGAGCAGGACTGAAAACAACTTCCAAAGCTTTCAAGAACTTTCTGCATTAATAGTATACTTTACACTCCTATCCTTTCAGGGCCATGCCATTCACTTCCATGATTGTTCCAGGGAAGGTAAATTTGTTTATAACTTATAGTCTTACAGTCGAGATCACCGTTGAACCGGAAAAGGCATTCGTGTAACATGGGGCCAATGCTCTGCTGCTTGAGTGGTTCCAAGGAACACCATCATCATTCTGCCGGTCATTGCCCCACCCCGAAGGCTCCTGGGGTTTCTCCTCGTCGAATTACCCCTCTGAGCCCGAAAAAACCTTGAACCCCAGAATCTCAGCCCCCAGCCACGTCTCAGCCAAGGGGCTATGAGTGACAGTGCGGTCTTGGGATCGTGCAGGGCGGTATCTCCTTTTTGCGAGACCGCGCGCCGCTTGGCGCTGGAGGCAGTGAGGATCTCGGATCTCCGGTACACGACAGTATCCTCATGAGGATCAATAGACTGTTTCACTTTCCATATGCCGATCTCGGTTTTGCCGATCTCGTGAACGACGGATGTCGGATTCTCCTTGATCGAAGAGCAGCTTCAGCAGTGTGTGCACACGATCTTGGTTCAGCTGGCCTGGAGCCGCGGTTCCCGCGGCGGCGAAAGGTTCCACAGGAGGTTTCACACCAAGTTCGGGTCGACGGGCCGTTTTGGAAGACATGGGATCGGCTAAGATGTCCACAAACACACCTCATGGTCAGTCAATGTCACCAAATTGATCCGCAAGAGCATCCGCTGCTCTCATGTGTGCGAGATCAAGCCCAACTGGCCCATTGGCTGTGCATGGTGTCTGTTCCATTCGTCATGTGGAGCTTGAATGGATGCTCATCCTTCAAGAACGAACTCCACAGCAGAGATGGAGAAGGGGTCCCCGTATCCATCAGAGTTCCAAGCTTTTCCAGGCCATTCCATGCTTTCTTCTCATCTCCAGCTTCCCGAGACTTCCCCATCTCCCCTCACTCCATCCCCATCCCACGCGCTCCACACGCTCCCCCTGCGGCACCTGCAGCACCTGCGCCTTGCACGTTGCCCTCGGCGGTGAAGAGGTCCAAGGCTCGCCGGCAGCATTTCCGCATCAAACCGTCCTCCGTTTCCTCAGCTCCGAGCTCCCTCCGTCACCGGTCAAGTACTTGGTGCTTTTGGGGTCCGAGGCAAAAACATCGCGTGGCTTTTGGGGAGCCAGGTCGTTTGTTCCACCGCGGAAACCGAGGTCTGGGCGACGTCAACGACATGATGTAGCATATTATCATATAGCACCAAATCCGAAGGTGCAGAAACGGGAGAATCCATCCTCTTCCTTCCTCTTCCAAAATGTTTGGCACCACTTCGGTTCTTCGATCTTCGTCCGCTTTCGACCAACGCGGGCGCGGTGGAACAAACGCCCGCCGAGGAGCTGAGAGCTGCAAGGCCTCCTTCAAGCGCTCGGCCGGGCAGCCCCGAGGGAGCCACTCCATCACCTCAGAAGACAAAGGCTGTGTCTGTGCACTTGCGTGTTCCGCAAACTTACTACGGAGCCTTTGGTGGGGGGGGGAATGGCCGTCGAGGCCAATGCGGTGGCGAAGTGGACGGTGCGCGGGCTCGGATCAACGTGGGACGCCCCACATCCACACCGGTCGCAGGTCTCGAAGCGTAGGAGGTTGGGGTGTCACCATCGGTCGTAGGGTCGTTGCTTGCAGCGGGTGTCAAGCGGGTGTCAGACATGTCTGTCAACGCCTGGGATCTGGTGCCCCTTTCTCCCTTCAATCTCAGTCGCCACGCAGGTGTTCTTGAGCCGACGGAAGCCAGACCACTTGGGGTTGTAGTAATTCTCCGAAAGGAGCCTGGACAGAACCAGAGCGAGAGGCCGAGGCTCCGTCGTACCGAGTCGTCATACGACCGGTGCGCACAACGGAAACGAAGTGGGGAAACCTGGCCTGGCTAGGGTTGACATTGGGTTGACAGGATGCCGACTAAAGTCATGACTCTCAACCCATCGCAAGCATGTCTGTTTCGGGTCTATCTCGGCTCGGCTCTGGTTCAAGTCAAGTTCTGGTTCGTTCTGCCACAACCGCTCCGGGATGCTCCAGGCGAATCCTCCAGAAACTTACGATTCACTGGCCACGATCGGCACAGTTCGTCGTTCTTAGAGGTCTTGGATTTCGCATCCAAGCAGCCTGAAAAGTTCAGACCTGGATCTATCCTCTCAAGACTATTCTGGGGTCAACCCCAAAGCCACAAATCGCTGCTGTGGGGGCTCTTCCCACTGGCAAACCTTGTAGCCCCGCACAGCGGAGTCGGTATGAGCCCCCCACCTCCGCCCCCCCCGGTCCGTAGAACTGGTTGGCGGGACACAAATCCTTCGGCAAGGTGTCCAAGCACCTGCCCTTGAAGAGCCGGAACTGACAGGCTTGGTAGAACTGGGGCGGACTGTCCTCCTGCAGCGTGGACAAGGCACCTCCAAAAGAAGTTGGGGGGGCTCTTCCCATCTCAAAATCTGTGAAGCCACATGCTGCCACCCTTCCGCGAAAGGTTTCACCCTCTCGCCTTTCACGGAACAAGATCGAACCGTGAACCGTGAACTCTCCTTGAGGCTCTCGAAGGCCCAGCTGTTGGGCTCCTCGCTGTCGCGGCAGTACATCAGATCCACGAACTTCTCGATCTCGATCCTGGGAGCCCCACGACCGACCGATGCACGACACGACCGATGTCCGCGGATCCGATGACGTCCACCGACGTGGCAGCGGGATTGACTCCGAAGCGTGACCGTCCAACGAAAACTGGCTGGAACTGCTCCACTGAGGCGTGGGTTCTTTTTTGACTATATATTGTCTGTGCACATTTTTTGCGTAAGTAACGGTAGTTGTAACGGTGGTAGTTGTAACGTTGTAACGGTAGTTGTTGATCGTTTGGATGTTTAATCCGCAACGGCGCGAGGTTCACACGGGTCTGTTCAGAGTGAAACGGCCTGTCGAGTCAGACCGGCAAGATGGTCTGGATCGTGGGGAAAGACTTAAGAAAAAGCAGGTTCAAAGGTCTTTTGATGGAAGAAATCTCCTTCATCCAATATGATTCGACATGTGGTCTTATTTGTTGGGTCACCAGTCTCCTCATTCCAGCCATGTATTCCTAGTCCAGAGGGTCACCCTCTGGGGATGAAGAAGCGAAGTTCTATCCATGTTAATACCTTGATTTCCCCACCCGCAGCTCGCACGGGGTGTACCCCCCCCCGTCCGGAGCGTCGGAGAGTCCCCCGTCCAAAGGATCCGATCCCATGGGACTTTTCTTTGCCCAACCGGGACAAAATGTGTCCCAACATCTATCGAAGCATCTGCTGTTCACGCTCTTCTTCCTCCTCTTCTTCCATTTCCCGTTCTGCCTGGCGAGCTCGGAACGGCATCGGCTCTGGTGGCGTCGGTGTAGCGGAACCACCCAAGGCAAGGAGAAAACCTCCAGGATCATCTGGTTCTATAGCTCTATTATTTTGCTTACCACAAAGTCCAATAAGCTTCGATCTCTTGACATCGTCCTACAATTTGCACCATTAATGACACCAAAACCACGACCCCAGACGCCACCCAATTCTTCGAACTCTCTCCCATTTCCGCCTCCGCCTCGCGCTCGGCTTCGGCTTCCAGCGTCTGTTCGCCCACCTCCATGCCTTGCACTTCCAAGACGTTTTTGATGACCTGCTGCGGTGGCCGAACCAAGCGGAGCCGAGGTGGCCTGTGGAGCGGAACCGGTTAGGAACACGGCAAAGCGGTGGAGACAAATGGATGGAGGATGGATGGATGAATGGAGATGGGCGCCACCAGAGTGGAGATGCCACCAGATCGGATCCACTTGGGAGATCTGCATATCTTGGAATCCTTTTGGAATCCCGATCTCATGTGTGAGACAGTGACGCCTTCCCAAGGATTTCATGAAAAAGGCATGTCCAGTCGGAGTCCAGATGATTCAAGTCTTTTGGGGGAGACATGATTGAATTCACAGCAGCTTCTTCAAAAGCAGCGTGAAACGGAGACTCGGATGCCCCCGATGCCGCATCCGACTGTCGGCCATGAGTTGGCGGGTTGGCCGTCTGAGTCCGTGACAATGATTCGTCCAGACCTTCGAGTCCCACTACTCCGATGCTATTTTGCTTGCCTAGAATCCTTCAAATCCCCCAAACTCTTCGTTTCTCAATGTCAAAATCATTGCGTTGATCACCAGTATGGTGATAAGAACAATACTTGGGGCTTAGTGAATGGCGAACTAAAACATATAATAAGACTTACGCACCTCAACTAGTGACCCACATCAGCACCACCGCCCAGTGCTTTCGACCATGGTGCCCATTCCACAGCTTCGCGATCTTCGGCTGTGAGGATGTACTTGGTATATTCCTGGGAGGATTCGAGGTCATGGAGAGCATTTCGACACAGAGCGGAAAATTTGTAAAAGCTGAAGGCAAATCAATCTGTTTGCTTCTCACAAGAAAGGCAGCTTTGTCGGGCATTGATGCATGCCAACCAGTGATACCTTCAGTCCTTCAGCGAACCCAGAAACCGAAAACGAAAAGGTCCACCATTTCCCCTCACTTAAAAGGTCCCACTCTTCCGATGTCCCTATCTTCTATATGTGTCTTCGTTCGCATTGTTTCTGTCTACCCCGTCTACCCCGTCTTCTCCTCGGCACGTCCCTGCACGATCTGCAGCAGACCGCGCGGCACGGGCACGTGGTCCAGGACTTGGAAATCGATGGGCTCCTTGAAGACCTGCACCCGTCGCCGAAGAAACGGAGCCGACGCCAGAAATCGGTGAAGCGGAGCCGTCGCCGGTGTGGAGCCGCTCGACGCCGGTGTCGTTGTGGTGTTTTTTGCGGGAGAAAAAAATGGCCATAATATGTGGAGCAGGACACCTGGCACGAGCTGTCCCAAAAGGAAACCCGTCCTGACCGCCCATACCTCGGGCCCTGTCGTGAGGCGAAGAAGTCAAATAGTATCTTGACTTCACCTGTCAATATTCACTCCTACTCCTACCGTCCTTTTTGCTGCGAAAAGGTATCGTTTGATATCTTTTGTACCTTCTTTAAGTTCCCGCGAATGTGTGTTTCTTCCTGAGACATCCTGAGACCAAGATGACAAAGAGGACCATTCAAGGCGCTCTGAAGAATGCTGTTGGGGTTTCCATCTTTTGTCACTAGAACGGTCACCTCACTAAGAAAAAGAGAGAATGGCAACACTTAAGCTGTCCGGCTCTACCGTCGTGTGAACAACTGCATTCGAAGGTTTTATCTTGCTGAATGATGCTGAATGTACACACGTGGAGTAAAGCCACTCCAAAAATCTCTACTGTAAAGTGCAAAATGCCAGGCCCGGAAATACCCGGCATACCTGTGGCGGAAATGCCGGACAGTTCCTATAGTTAAAGGTGGAACCTCCCGAAGTCGTGCTTGAAACGAAGGGCTTGAAAAGATGTTGCGAGACCAATTCATGAATGAAGATTTGTCCCATTCGTCGGTGGGGAGGTGCGAGATCTTGAGATAAAAAAAAAGTGTCCCACCTCAGAACGGTACCGCAGTATGCAAGCATTGCTCCTATATCTGCTCCGGCAGTGGCGATGGCGTGGACACGACAGGTCCGGACCGGTCGCCTCGATGCAGTCGACGATCTCCGGAAGTTGCAACAAGGCATACTTCTCCATCAAGGTGTTCCAGGCCTCTCGGGAGCGAGACATGCGAAGGGCCGCTCTCTCGGTGCGTGCGACGAAAACGCTCCACGACACGACGCCGACGCCGTGGACCACGAAGGACAAATTGGAGTGGAGTTGGTCCTGTGGTCTGCATATCCAACCCGCACTCTGGAGACATGTCCCAATGAAGAACAAGACGCATGACCGGGACTCTGCGAGGATGGAAAAACCATCTGAAAGGCCTTTGAGAAGTGATGAGAGAAAATAAGTTTAACAACAAGGAGATCTTGGGCGGCTTAGACTGCATGGCCTTTCAAGGCCTTTCATTCTCTTGTCTAGAGCATGGAAAAAACATATACAATTATATGGAAACTAAGACAACGCATACAAGAAACCTTGCAACCCAGGCACATTCTTTCGCCAAATGTTTGACAAGTTCTGAGTCTGAAGCACGTTGAACTGCAGGCGGTCTGACAGCATGCTGTTCAACACCAACCAGCCACACACATCGCCTCAAGGTAGGAAGCAGCCAAGAAGGTCAGTGTTTGAGCCAGCTTGTGTGTGTGTGTTTGCTTCGTGTTTGCTGCGATAAGGCAGCTTCCAACATTCCTAGGTTGAGGGGCACGTGGTCAATATTCATTCCAAACCGTTCATTTTTCTTGCGGCCCCTCTCCAAAGGCTTTGCTGCGTGCGATACCCACAGCAATCACGCCAAGTCCTATCTCACTTGGATCAAAGTGGCCACCTCATGGAAGGGGTGGGCAAGTCCAACCTCCTTTCCAGCCATCCAAGCTTTTGAGTGATTGCACGGACACAAATTTATGAGTCTTGCATGGTTCCGACACAATCCTGGCATGATTGAATACATACGAGTACCAGAGCCTCAGAAGGGTAGCCCCTTAGAGCTTAAGATAGCTTAAGAGATCTCCGTTAACCACCCCTTAGGGTGCCCTGGTACTTCAATGATTGCAACACACAACTCTCCAAGTGATCCAATGGCCTTCCAATGGCCTCTCCTCGCATCTCCACCACCGGCGGTCGATCTGTGCGAAGCCAAGGAGCCCAACATGGATTGATCCGTACAAGGGGCGGTCGCATTCGCTTGTAGCATGTGCTTGCTAATGAGCTCTCGCACTTCCTCAGGAGAGCGAGATCGCACCTCTCGCACTTCGAAGCACAAAACCACTCGTAGAGAAGGAAGAGGGATCGCACTACTGTAGCTTGCCCAGATGCTTTTTTGTCTGCTCTGCGACTTTCTGGCGGGGTGGTGAAGCTACTGGCGCCAGTTTGATGGGGCCTAATCGTGGTTTAGGTGCTTCGGCTACGAGTATAGCACTGTGCGAGTAGAACTGAGTAGATGGTCATCCCAAGCTCCAAAATCCCATGATCCAGCAGATCAACCTTCCCGAGCGAAACGAGGACGCGTCCCGACGATGCGAAACGAGCTGCTGGGATGATGAGAATCCTCAACTTCTGCCCCTTGCCGATGCCTGGGACTGGCGCGGCTTCCACGCTTTCCACGCTTTCCCCGTCGGAGTTCGGATCCCAGGAATGGCATGTCGGATCCCGGTCTACGGCTGATTCGTCTACGGCTGATTCTGGTCACTGAAGAGTGGTAGGATCCACTGGGTGTGGATTGAAGGATCTTGAAGGGTTGTGTATCTCAGCTGCGAACATCACAATGCACTGTGGACAGGTAACCGCGTGGAATTTAGAAGGACATGAAGTCTCCAGCAGCTCACTATATTGAAAGAACTCTTCCACAACCGTAGCCCTTCCACAACAACAAACCTCTTCCCAACAACAAATCTCTCAACTTGAACGATCAGCAGCTTCACCAGCCCCCCCAAAGTCTCAAGAAGGACCCTGGATGCTTGGGCCGGGCCAACCGCCGACCGCTGCCAACCGGCCCCACAGGGCCTCGGAGGCGGTAGGCGCCCTGAGCATAGTCGCGGAAGACCATGTCTTTGCCCAAGGTGATGGCGCCCACGCAATCGCGCTTGTGCCTTTCAAAGACGAAAGCGAATAGCGCACGAACTGAAAGCAGACAGGAGTGTGAAGCACGGACATGGAAGCCCAAGATGAATCGTGGATATGGAACCAACAATCCATCGTTGAACAGACGTCCGACGTCCATCTTCGTACCCCCACGCATGTTCATTCCAAGTCTTCTGGGAGAGCAAAGGTAAAAGATTGTAAAAGGTATTAACGTAAGGTTCCCCCCGCCCCAAACTGCCACACTTCAAACATCTTCAACTGGCACCACCAAAATCGATAAACAAAAAAAGGAAAAAAAAAAAAAAACATGTATATAGCTTCACTGACCTTCGATCTAC